TAGCATCAAAGAGTTCTTTTAAAAAAAATTTTAAGTAACCGCACGTTTTTGATGTTTTAGGTAAATTATTAAAAAAAATATTAATTTTCAAAAAATCGTCGAAGTCTTATTTTGGAAGATAAAAATATCATTCGTATACCAAATTAAAGCTTAAACTTTCCTCTTTAATAAAACATATGGCTGATTGTTTTGATTTATGTAGGATTATTTGAAAAAAATTTAAACTCAACCCTGCAAATTTGTAATAAAGAAAAAACTTAATAATTTAAAAAATCATCAAACACCCGTATTTATGAATCCTAAGAAATAATTCTTGCACCAATTTAAAGCTTAAATCGTCTTCTTTCCGCAGATATAAAATTTATTGTTTTAGCATTAAAGAGTTCTTTTAAAAAAATTTTTAAGTAACCGCGCATTTTTGATGTTTTAGGTAAATTATTAAAAAAAATATTAATTTTCAAAAAATCGTCGAAGTCTTATTTTTGAAGATAAAAATATCATTCGTATAACAAATTAAAGCTTAAACATTCCTCTTTAAGAAAACATATGGGTGATTGTTTTGATTTATGTGGGATTATTCCAAAAAAAAATTTAAACGCAACTCTGCAAATTTCTAATAAAGAAAAAACTTCATAATTTAAAAAATCACCCAGCCCGTGTTTATGAATCCTAAGAAATAATTCTTGCACCAAATTAAAGCTTAAATCGTCTTCTTTCCGGAGATATAAAATTTATTGTTTTAGCATTAAAGAGTTCTTTTAAAAAAATTTTAAAGTAACCGCGCGTTTTTGATGTTTTAGGTAAATTATTAAAAAAAATATTAATTTTCGAAAAATCGTCGAAGTCTTATTTTTGAAGATAAAGATATCATTCGTATACCAAATTAAAGCTTAAACTTTCCTCTTTAAGAAAACATATAGGAGATTGTTTTGATTTATGTGGGATTATTTAAAAATAATTTCAACTCAACCCTGCAAATTTGTAATAAAGAAAAAACTTAATAATTTAAAAAATCATCCAGCCAGTATTTATGAATCCTAAGAAATAATTCTTGCACCAAATTAAAGCTTAAATCGTCTTCTTTCCGGAGATATAAAATTTATTGTTTTAGCATTAAAGAGTTCTTTTAAAAAAATTTTAAAGTAACCGCGCGTTTTTGATGTTTTAGGTAAATTATTAAAAAAAATATTAATTTTCGAAAAATCGTCGAAGTCTTATTTTGGAAGATAAAGATATCATTCGTATACCAAATTAAAGCTTAAACTTTCCTCTTTAAGAAAACATATGGGTGATTGTTTTGATTTATGTGGGATTATTTCAAAAAAAATTTAAACTCAACCCTGCAAATTTGTAATAAAAAAAAACTTAATAATTCAAAAAATCACCCAGCCCGTATTTATGAATCCTAAGAAATAATTTTTGCGCCAAATTAAAGCTTAAATCGTCTTCTTTCCGTAGATATAAAAGTTATTGTTTTGACATTAAAGAGTTCTTTTAAAAAAATTTTTAAGGTACCGCAAGTTTTTGATGTTTTAGGTAAATTATTAAAAAAAATATTAATTTTCAAAAAATCGTCGAAGTCTTATTTTTGAAGATAAAGATATCATTCGTATACCAAATTAAAGCTTAAACTTTCCTCTTTAAGAAAACATATAGGTGATTGTTTTGATTTATGTGGGATTATTTAAAAAAAAATTTAAACTCAACTCTGCAAATTTCTAATAAAAAAAAAACTTAATAATTCAAAAAATCACCCAGCCCGTATTTATGAATCCTAAGAAATAATTTTTGCGCCAAATTAAAGCTTAAATCGTCTTCTTTCCGTAGATATAAAAATTATTGTTTTGGCATTAAAGAGTTCTTCTAAAAAAATTTTTAAGTAACCGCGCGTTTTTGATGTTTTAGGTAAATTATTAAAAACAATATTAATTTTCAAAAAATCGTCGAAGTCTTATTTTGGAAGATAAAGATATCATTCGTATACTAAATTAAAAGTTAAACTTTTCTCTTTAAGAAAACATATGGGTGATTGTTTTGATTTATATGGGATTATTCCAAAAAAAAATTTAAACTCAACTCTGCAAATTTCTAATAAAGAAAAAACTTAATAATTCAAAAAATCACCCAGCCCGTATTTATGAATCCTAAGAAATAATTTTTGCGCCAAATTAAAGCTTAAATCGTCTTCTTTCCGTAGATATAAAAGTTATTGTTTTGACATTAAAGAGTTCTTTTAAAAAAATTTTTAAGGTACCGCAAGTTTTTGATGTTTTAGGTAAATTATTAAAAAAAATATTAATTTTCAAAAAATCGTCGAAGTCTTATTTTTGAAGATAAAGATATCATTCATATACCAAATTAAAGCTTAATCTTTCCTCTTTAAGAAAACATATAGGTGATTGTTTTGATTTATGTGGGATTATTTAAAAAAAAATTAAACTCAACCCTGCAAATTTGTAATAAAAAAAAAACTTAATAATTCAAAAAATCACCCAGCTCGTATTTATGAATCCTAAGAAATAATTTTTGCGCCAAATTAAAGCTTAAATCGTCTTCTTTCCGTAAATATAAAAGTTATTGTTTTGACATTAAAGAGTTCTTTTAAAAACATTTTTAAGTAACCGCGCGTTTTTGATGTTTTAGGTAAATTATTAAAAAAAATATTAATTTTCAAAAAATCGTCGAAGTCTTATTTTTGAAGATAAAGATATCATTCGTATATTAAATTAAAGGTTAAACTTTCCTCTTTAAGAAAACATATGGGTGATTGTTTTGATTTATGTGGGATTATTCCAAAAAAAAATTTAAACTCAACTCTGCAAATTTCTAATAAAGAAAAAACTTCATAATTTAAAAAATCACCCAGCCCATATTTATGAATCCTAAGAAATAATTTTTGCGCCAAATTAAAGCTTAAATCGTCTTCTTTCCGGAGATATAAAATTTATTGTTTTTGGCAAAATGAGCAAGCAAATGAGCTTGTTTATGAGAGTAAATATCAACCAGTTCAGGTAAATCATCACAAAAACTAAATTATTATGTTTGTTTTGGAGATACAGGGTGTTCAAATTAAATTTTTAAATTGATTTTTATTTAATATTAGACGTGTATTTCAACCGATTCTTTTCAAATTTGATATACGGAGGTTTTTTGACATGGGAAAGACGATTATGGAGTCCGTTTTACTGTAACCGGTAGAGTTATTCAAAAAGCCAAAAAGTATACTGTCAGAAAAGTTATTGCTACTTTAATCCGTAAAGGATACGTTCATAGTAACACGGACTCCATAGTCGTCCTTCTAATGCCAAAAAACCTGCGTATACCAAATTTGAAAAGAATCGGTTGAAATACACGTCTAATATTAAATAAGAATTAATTTAAAAATTTAATTTGAACTCCCTGTATCTCCAAAACAAAGCGTTTCTCGACCTATGTTTATATGAAGTTTTTGTGTTAATTTTTTGGGTTAAAAGATCTATCGACTGTTAAAGTCCTGCTACAAAAACCTGAAACACCCTGTATATATATATATATATATATATATATATATATATATAAATGATAAATATTAATCCCGTTTAAATCGGTTTTAATAATTAATTCTCTTATTTAAGAGATAGGGAACAAAACGTCATTGTTTTTTCTTAGTAAAACTCATGTTATTATTAGTTCTAAGCCTAGATAAAAAATAAACTTAAAAAGAATCGGATAAATAGCGAAATCTCGAATGATATCGTCCCAGTAAACGTCTCGCGCCGGATCTGATCAATCAATTCGCGCCTAATTGTGATGTCAATGCACACCTTTACGTTTAATTTCAAAAATTAATTTGGTAATAACAAATTATTTTTATGGCTTTGCGGAAAAAAGGCTGTTTTTATACCGTTCAAATCTACAACATCGGCCTTTACGATCCATTTACGATACAGTAACTTAATTTGTATCACAAGTTAATCCAAGAATACGTTTTGACATTAATTAATTAAAAATGGGACCTTGGAAGCGACCGGAAGGAAGCAAATACGCTTTCTATTTGTGCAATGAGGACCACACGGATCCCGTTTGGATCGAACATGGATATAAAAGAGAGAATGTACCTAGAAAACCAAAGGTAATTACCTTCAATTAAGATTTTGTGGGCTGACCACAAAAAAAGTTTTTAAAAGATGAAATGATGATAAGTGTGTGACACATTTGTATCACAGACGGTTCTAAATTGTTTAATATCGCTTAAATTGTAAAATTACCCCACGTACAATAAAAGTACCAAGCTAAGACATGCTTTAACTTCAATTTTATTCACTTTGATCCCATTGAAATCGTCTGAATCGAGGAGGATAGATTCAAAAATAAGTCTTTGCTTAAAAAGTTTCTTTAAGTACATCTAACGTGGTATTCCACTTCTTCAAGACGTAGTTTGAAATTGTTGTAGTGCTAAAATGTTAAAAAATGTTGTATCCGGTGGCTTAATTAAGAAATGTGGTGAAAAATTGAAATAATCATTGATCGAAAATTATTTATAAACGAATTCGAAGAAGTTGAGATTTAATAAATTTAATAAAATGGAGAATATAAATCCAATGCCCGAATATGATGATGAGCAAAAGCAAAACGATTCGGCTTGGGATGAGTTTGAGAGTTTTTTGAAGGAGAAGCGGAAGAAAGTGGCGCCAACATTTTATCCGTTGCCGCCGGAAGATGATTACCTGAGTAGTCTAGTAATTATTACCACTTTAATCTAAAAAAATCGTATCTTCTAAATTAATTTAGATAACTCAACGAGATTGTCACCATTTTATTAAGAAATGTTTCAGAATTCATTTAAAAAATAGCGACTTGAAATATCTTGATTAGTTTTCGAGAAAATAATTCTTAAAGTTGTTGGATTTTTAATCTTTTTTAAGTGAACATAAAAAACACGATTTATTAAAAAAATCATATCTCCTAAATTAATTTAGATACCTTAACGCGATTTCCACCGTTTTATTAAGAAATGTTTCAGAATTCATATAAAAAATAGCGACTTGAAATATCTTGATTAGTTTTCTAGAAAATAATTCTTAAAGTTGTTGAATTTTTAATCTTTTTTAAGTGAACATAAAAAACACGATTTATTAAAAAAATCATATCTACTAAATTAATTTAGATACCTTAACGCGATTTCCACCGTTTTATTAAGAAATGTTTCAGAATTCATATAAAAAATAGCGACTTGAAATATCTTGATTAGTTTTCTAGAAAATAATTCTTAAAGTTGTTGAATTTTTAATCTTTTTTAAGTGAACATAAAAAACACGATTTATTAAAAAAATCATATCTACTAAATTAATTTAGATACCTTAACGCGATTTCCACCGTTTTATTAAGAAATGTTTCAGAATTCATATAAAAAATAGCGACTTGAAATATCTTGATTAGTTTTCTAGAAAATAATTCTTAAAGTTGTTGAATTTTTAATCTTTTTTAAGTGAACATAAAAAACACGATTTATTAAAAAAATCATATCTACTAAATTAATTTAGATACGTTAACGCGATTTCCACCGTTTTATTAAAAAATGCTTCAGAATTCATATAAAAAATAGCGACTGGAAATATCTTTATTACTTTTCTAGAAAATAATTCTTAAAGATGATTTATTTTTAATCTTTTTTAAGTTAACACAAAAAACACGATTTATTAAAAAAATCATATCTACTAAATTAATTTAGATATCTTAACGTAACTACCACAGTTTTATTAAGAAATGTTTCAGAATTCATATAAAAAATAGCGACTTGAAATATCTTGATTACTTTTCTAGAAAATAATTCTTAAAGTTGTTGAATTTTTAGTCTTTTCTAAGTGAACATAAAAAACACGATTTATTAAAAAAATCATATCTACCAAATTAATTTAGATACGTTAACGCGATTTCCATCATTTTATTAAGAAATGTTTCAGAATTCATATAAAAAATAGCGACTTGAAATATCTTGATTAGTTTTCGAGAAAATAATGCTTAAAGTTGTTGGATTTTCAATCCTTTTTTAAGTCAACATAAAAAACACGATTTATTAAAAAAATCATATCTACTAAATTAATTTAGATACGTTAACGCGATTTCCACCGTTTTATTAAGAAATGTTTCAGAATTCATATAAAAAATAGCGACTGGAAATATCTTGATTACTTTTCTAAAAAATAATTCTTAAAGTTGTTGAATTTTTAATCTTTTTTAAGTGAACACAAAAAACACGATTTATTAAAAAAATCATATCTCCTAAATTAATTTAGATTTCTTTACAGGATTTACACCGTTTTATTAAGAAATGTTTGAGAATTCAAATTAAAAAAATTAATTTGAAAAATGTTGATTAGTTTTGCTCAAAATAATGTTTAAAGTCATATTTTATCTTTTCCTTATTATTTCTTAGATGTATGGCCAGTACAGCCGACAATTAGGAGAATTCGCAAAATTAGAAGGATTAAAACAAGCCGAAAAGAGGCGATTAAAAGAGGAGAAGCGACGCAAAAAAGAATTAAAGGGTTACCAAGGAAAATTGGCGAAAACTGTTGCGTATTTATGGAAAAACACTTTCGCTCGATTGGGGGAGGATTGGGTCTTCTTGGCGCTGTTGGGAATTGTGATGGCCATAATTAGTTTTGTTATGGATAGAGGAATATCTATGTGCAACAAAGGTAACATTCATTAAGAATTAATTACTAAAAATAGAAGAAGAATCGAGATCAATCCGGTTAAAAATAAGTAGAAAAAACGCTTTTTAGTTGACCTCAGTCTAAAATTAGATTGTAGATGAAATTCAAAACAAATAATGAAATCGAAAAAATTGTGTGTCGAAGAAAAGATGTTTTAACTCTAAATCGTTACGAAATATAAACAGCAATCAGTCTTTTTTAATCTTTTAATTAATACCATTATTATTACTGATTTTCACTTCTTGTTTAGCTAGAATATGGCTGTACCAAGACTTAACGGATCACCCGGTCGTTCAATACTTCGCCTGGGTAACACTTCCGGTTTGTTTGATTCTATTTAGCGCCGGTTTCGCCCATTTAGTGGCCCCACAATCAATAGGTAACTTCATAATATTATTTTGCAATGATATTTATTCGTTCCTTTTTATATTTTAGGTTCTGGAATCCCAGAAATGAAAACAATCCTTCGCGGGGTAGCCTTAAAAGAATATCTAACATTCCGAACGCTCGTTGCGAAAGTAATCGGGCTGACTGCAACTTTAGGAAGCGGTATGCCGCTGGGTAAGGAAGGCCCTTTTGTGCACATTGCCAGTATCACCGCAACACTTCTTAGCAAATTGATCACCGGCTTTCAAAGTATTTATGAAAATGAAAGTCGAACGACTGAGATGTTAGCGGCAGCGGCTGCTGTTGGAGTTGGAAGTTGTTTTGCGGCCCCCGTTGGAGGTAAATTACTAAAAATATTAAGCTAAAAATTCAATTGTTACGTTTAGAATAATTTTGGAAAAAAGGTGTGCTTTTCAGTATCGAGGTAACCACAACGTATTTCGCCGTGAGGAATTATTGGAGAGGGTTCTTCGCGGCTGTTTGTGGGGCAACGATTTTCCGGTTGTTGGCTGTTTGGTTTGAAGGAGTCGATACAGTGACGGCTATGTTTAAAACTAGCTTTACGATGGAGTTTCCCTTTGATCCCCAGGAACTGTTCGTATTCGCTTTGATAGGGTAATTATGTTTATATATAATTTGTAGCAAATTTAATTCTCAACAAAATCGCTCCCTTTAATTTTTTCTTCTCGATGCATAGAAACTGAAATAAATATGAAAATCTGAAAATTTGGCGTAAATGTCGTTTTTAAATGTTGTTAAGGTAGCGCACGGGAAACGGAAATTAATACAAAAAAATGTTCATTACAAAACTTGTAGCAAATTTCATTCTTAACAATATTGCTCTCTTTTACTTTTTTACCCAGATGCATAGAAACCGAGATAAATATGAAAATGGAAAATTTGGCGTAAATATTGCTTTTATAGGTTGTTAAGGTAGCACACGGGAAACGGAAATTAATACCAAAAAATGTTTGTTATAAAAGTTGTAGCAAATTCCATTCTTAACAATATTGCTCTCTTTTACTTTTTCTCCCAGATGTATAGAAACCGAGATAAAAATGAAAATGAGAAAATTTTGCCTAAATGTCGATTTTAAGGATTTTTAAAGTAGCGCATGGGGAACGGAAATGATTAAAGAAAAACGTTTAAAATAAAAATTGTAGCAAATTTCATTCTTAACAATATTGCTCTCTTTTACTTTTTCTCCCAGATGTATAGAAACCGAGATAAAAATGAAAATGAGAAAATTTTGCCTAAATGTCGATTTTAAGGATTTTTAAAGTAGCGCATGGGGAACGGAAATGATTAAAGAAAAACGTTTAAAATAAAAATTGTAGCAAATTTCATTCTTAACAATATTGCTCTCTTTTACTTTTTCTCCCAGATGTATAGAAACCGAGATAAAAATGAAAATGAGAAAATTTGGCGTAAATGTCGATTTTAAGGGTTGTTAAGGTAGCGCACGGGAAACGGAAATTAACACAAAAAAATGTTTATTACAAAAGTTGTAGCAAATTTCATTCTTAACAATATTGCTCTCTTTTACATTTTCTCCCAGATGTATAGAAACCGAGATAAAAATGAAAATGAGAAAATTTGGCGTAAATGTCGATTTTAAGGGTTGTTAAGGTAGCGCACGGGAAACGGAAATTAATACAAAAAAATGTTTATTACAAAAGTTGTAGCAAATTTCATTCTTAACAATATTGTTCTCTTTTACTTTTTCTCCCAGATGTATAGAAACCGAGATAAAAATGAAAATGGGAAAATTTGCCTAAATGTCGATTTTAAGGATTTTTAAAGTAGCGCATGGGGAACGGAAATTATTAAAGAAAACGTTTAAAATAAAAATTGTAGCAAATTTCATTCTTAACAATATTGCTCTCTTTTACTTTTTCTTCCAGATCTATAGAAACCGAGATAAAAATAAAAATGAGAAAATTTGGCGTAAATGTCGATTTTAAGAATTGTTAAGGTAGCGCACGGGAAACGGAAATTAATACAAAAAAATGTTTATTACAAAAGTTGTAGCAAATTTCATTCTTAACAATATTGCTCTCTTTTACTTTTTCTCCCAGATGTATAGAAACCGAGATAAAAATGAAAATGGGAAAATTTTGCGTAAATGTCGATTTTAAGGGTTGTTAAGGTAGCGCACGGGAAACGGAAATTAATACAAAAAAATGTTTATTACAAAAGTTGTAGCAAATTTCATTCTTATCAATATTGCTCTCTTTTACTTTTTCTCCCAGATGTATAGAAACCGAGATAAAAATGAAAATGGGAAAATTTTGCCTAAATGTCGATTTTAAAGGTTGTTAAGGTAGCGCACGGGAAACGGAAATTAATACCAAAAAATGTTTGTTATATAAGTTGTAGCAAATTCCATTCTTAACAATAATGCTCTCTTTTACATTTTCTCCCAGATGTATAGAAACCGAGATAAAAATGAAAATGAGAAAATTTGGCGTAAATGTCGATTTTAAGGGTTGTTAAGGTAGCGCACGGGAAACGGAAATTAATACAAAAAAATGTTTATTACAAAAGTTGTAGCAAATTTCATTCTTAACAATATTGCTCTCTTTTACTTTTTCTCCCAGATGTATAGAAACCGAGATAAAAATGAAAATGAGAAAATTTTGCGTTAATGTCGATTTTAAGGGTTGTTAAGGTAGCGCACGGGAAACGGAATTAATACAAAAAAATGTTTATTACAAAAGTTGTAGCAAATTTCATTCTTAACAATATTGCTCTCTTTTATTTTTTCTCCCAGATGTATAGAAACCGAGATAAAAATGAAAATGAGAAAATATGACGTAAATGTCTATTTTAAGGGTTGTTAAGGTAGCGCACGGGAAACGGAAATTAATACAAAAAAATGTTTATTACAAAAGTTGTAGCAAATTTCATTCTTAACAATATTGCTCTCTTTTACTTTTTCTCCCAGATGTATAGGAACCGAGATAAAAATGAAAATGAGAAAATTTTGCCTAAAGGTCGATTCTAAGGATTTTTAAAGTAGTGCATGGGGAACGAAAATGATTAAAGAAAAACTTTTAAAATAAAAATTGTAGCAAATTTCATTCTTAACAATATTGCTCTCTTTTACTTTTTTTCCCAGATGCATAGAAACTGAGATAAATATGAAAATGGGAAAATTTGGCGGAAATATCGCTTTTATAGGTTGTTAAGATAGCGCACAGGAAATGGAAATTAATACAAAAAAATGTTTATTACAAAAGTTGTAGCAAATTTCATTCTTAACAATATTGCTCTCTTTTACTTTTTTTTCCAGATGCATAGAAACTGAGATAAATATGAAAATGGGAAAATTTGGCGGAAATATCGCTTTTATAGGTTGTTAAGATAGCGCACAGGAAATGGAAATTAATACAAAAAAATGTTTATTACAAAAGTTGTAGCAAATTTCATTCTTAACAATATTGCTCTCTTTTACTTTTTTTTCCAGATGCATAGAAACTGAGATAAATATGAAAATGGGAAAATTTGGCGGAAATATCGCTTTTATAGGTTGTTAAGATAGCGCACAGGAAATGGAAATTAATACAAAAAAATGTTTATTACAAAAGTTGTAGCAAATTTCATTCTTAACAATATTGCTCTCTTTTACTTTTTTTTCCAGATGCATAGAAACTGAGATAAATATGAAAATGGGAAAATTTGGCGGAAATATCGCTTTTATAGGTTGTTAAGATAGCGCACAGGAAATGGAAATTAATACAAAAAAATGTTTATTACAAAAGTTGTAGCAAATTTCATTCTTAACAATATTGCTCTCTTTTACTTTTTCTCCCAGATGTATAGAAACCGAGATAAAAATGAAAATGAGAAAATTTGGCGTAAATGTCGATTTTAAGGGTTGTTAAGGTAGCGCACGGGAAACGGAAATTAATACAAAAAAATGTTTATTACAAAAGTTGTAGCAAATTTCATTCTTAACAATATTGCTCTCTTTTACTTTTTCTGCCAGATGTATAGAAACCGAGATAAAAATAAAAATGAGAAAATTTGGCGTAAATGTTGATTTTAAGGGTTGTTAAGGTAGCGCACGGGAAACGGAAATTAATACAAAGAAATGTTTATTACAAAAGTTGTAGCAAATTTCATTCTTAACAATATTGCTCTGTTTCACTTTTTTTCCCAGATGTATAGAAACAGAGATAAATATGAAAATGTCAAATTTTGATGTAAATGTTACTTTTGAAGCGTTGTTATTGAGGTAGCGCACAGAAAACGGATATTATTACAAAATAAATTTTAGTATAAAAGTTGTAGCAAATTTAATACTCAGCAATATCGATCTCTTTCATTTTTTCTCCTCGATGCATAGAACCAGAGAAAAATCCAAAGTTATCATTATATATATCTTTTTAGGGTCATATCCGGTTTCGGCGGAGCTTTTTACGTCTACATGCACCGCCAATACGTAATGTCGATGAGAAAAAGCAAAACCCTCAACAATTTCCTCCAAAAGAAGTAAGTACCCAAATTTTTTAACTAACAAATCCCATCGAAATATGTTAAGTATTAATTAAGTTCCTTTTTTTAGCCGATTTTTATACCCGGGTTTGGTGGCCCTTTTAATATCAACCGTTTCGTTTCCTTTGGGACTTGGGCAATTCATCGCAGGCGATCTTACAACCCACGAGCAAGTCTTAAATTTATTCAGCAATTTTACTTGGACCAATTCGAATCTAACCGTGGAACAACAAGCAGTTTTGAACCATTGGATCACCCCGTATACAGGAGTTTTTATTAATTTAGCCGGATTTGTTTTATTTACGGTAAATTTTAATCTTTAATTGATTAAATTTTGATTTTATTTTAATTTTTAGTTCATTTTCTCGATTATTGCCTCAACGATTCCCGTTCCAAGTGGAAGTTTTATCCCCGTTTTTAAGATTGGAGCTGGTTTGGGACGAATCGTTGGGGAATTTATGCACGTTTTGTTCCCATTGGGGATGCGTTATGGGGGCAAATTGGCTCAAATTTTACCTGGGGGGTACGCAACGGTTGGGGCGGCCGCTTTTTCGGGGGCTGTCACCCATACAATCTCAACTTCTGTCATAGTTTTTGAAATGACTGGCCAAATCACCCATATTATCCCCATGATGATCGCCGTTTTAACCTCAAACGCAATCGCGAGCTTGCTCTTTCCCAGCCTTTACGACAGCATCATCTTAATCAAAAAGCTTCCTTATCTCCCGGATTTGCTCCCGAGTAGCAGTGGGATGTACTCAGTTTACGTCGAAAACTTCATGATTCGCGACGTAAAATATATCTCGAAAACGATGAGTTATGAGGAGCTTTACACGATTCTCAAGGTGCACAAGAACTTGCACAGCTTTCCCTTGGTGGATAGCTCCGAAAACATGGTGTTGCTCGGCTCGATTCAACGCCAACAATTAATTCTATTAATTGATAAACAAATTGGGCGAGAAACCCGATTGCAAGTTGTGGCGGAACGCCGGAGAGAGGCCCAAATGAAGAAGGAGGAGGAAATGAGGAAAATGGCGCAAGAAAGGGAGCGAAGACCGTCGCGGTTCCAAGTCATTCCCGTGAAATCCGAGAATCAAATTAACAACGAGAATATAACACAACCAAGGAAATCGATTTTGAAGAAAACTAATTCGTTCACTTTGAAAGGATTTTCGCCGTTTTCGACGACTTCGCCTAATTCGACGCCTTACACAACGGTTACGGGGGCTGAGTCGAGAGTTCGACAAGCTTTTGAAACGATTTTCAGGTTAGTACTATGTTCATTAATTTTTATTTCATTAATTTTTCATTATTTACTTTCGACACCAATATCTCAAGAACTAAGGGGAATATCAAAAAATTTTATTCTTTAATTTCGATTTAAAAACTCTTTTTCTATGCGATTTATTAATACGATTCTCTATAAAGGTGATTATTAATAAGCAACACCCAAAAAAGTGATTAAAAACGTCAACTTTATTACACAAATTTTACTTTATCATCTCCTCTCTCATTGAAATAATCTTTTTTTAATCTCAAACATTTTTATTCTTATAAAAGAATAAATTTAAAATCAAAAATAGAGAGTACCATTTTTTCCTATTGATTTTCGTTTGGGAGATATTCCCTCTTAAATGAATCAATTTTTGTGTTTTTAGCAAAAATTAAAACTTTCAACACAAATATCTCAAGAACTAAGGGGAATATAAAAAAATTGTATTCTTTAATTTCGATTTATAAACTATTTTTCTATAAGATTAATTAATAAGTTTCTCTTTAAAGATGATTTTTAATAAGCAACACCCAAAAAAGTGATTAAAAACGTCAACTTTATTAAACAAATTTTATTTTATCATCTCCTCCCTCATTCAAATAATTTTTTTTAAATCTCAAACACTTTTTTTCTTATAAAAGAATAAATTTAAAATCAAAAATAAAGAGTACCATTTTTTCATATTGATTTTCGTTTGGGAGATATTCCCTCTTAAATGAATCAATTTTTGTGTTTTTAGCAAAAATTAAAACTTTTAACACAAATATCTCAAAAACTAAGGGGAATATCAAAAAATTTTATTCTCTAATTTCGATTTAAAAACTCTTTTTCTATACGACTAATTAATACGATTCTCTATAAAGATGATTATTAATAAGCAACATCCAAAAAAGTGATTTAAAACGTCAACTTTATTAAACAAATTTTATTTTATCATCTTCTCCCTCATTCAAATAATTTTTTTTCAATCTTAAACACTTTTTTTCTTATAAAAGAATAAATTTAAAATCGAAAATAAAGAGTACCATTTTTTCCTACTTACTTTCGTTTGGGAGATATTCCCTCTTAAATGACTCAATTTTTGCGTTTTTAGCAAATTATAAAACTTTCAACACAAGTATCTCAAAAACTAAGGGGAATATCAAAAAATTTTATTCTCTAATTTCGATTTAAAAACTCTTTTTCTATACGATTAATTGATACGATTCTCTATAAAGATGATTATTAATAAGCAACATCCAAAAAAGTTATTTAAAACGTCAACTTTATTAAACAAATGTTATTTTATCATCTACTCCCTCGTTCAAATAATTTTTTTAAAATCTCAAACACCTTTTTACTTATAAAAGAATAAATTTAAAATCAAAAATAGAGAGTACCATTTTTTCCTATTGGTTTTTATTTAGGAGATATTCCCTCTTAAATGAAACAATTTTTGCCTTTTTAGCAAAAATTAAAACTTGCAACACAAATATCTCAAAAACTAAAAGGAATATCAAAAAATTTTATTCTTTAATTTCGATTTAAAAACTCTTTTTCTGCGCTATTATTTAATAAGTTTCTCTTTAGAGATAATTATTAATTAGCAACACCCAAAAAAGTGATTAAAAACGTCAACTTTATTAAACAAATTTTATTTTATCATCTCCTCCCTCATTCAAATAATTTTTTTTGTAATCTCAAACACTATTTTTCTTATAAAAGAATAAATTTAAAATCGAAAATAAAGAGTACCATTTTTTCCTATTTATTTTTGTTTGGGAGATATTCCCTCTTAAATGAATCAATTTTTGCGTTTTTAGCAAAAATTAAAATTTTCAACACAAATATCTCAAAAACTAAGGGGAATATCAAAAAATTGTATTCTTTAATTTCGATTTAAAAACTAGTTTTCTATAAGATTAATTATTAAGTTTCTCTTTAAAGTTGATTTTTAATAAGCAATACCGAGAAAAGTGATTAAAAAGGTCAACTTTATTAAACAAATTTTACTTTATCATCTCCTCCCTCATTCAAATAATTTTTTTTAAATCTCAAACACTTTTTTTCTTATAAAAGAATAAATTTAAAATCGAAAATAAAGAGTACCATTTTTTCCTGTTCATTTTAATTTAGGAGATATTCCCTCTTAAATGAATCAATTTTTGCGTTTTTAGCAAAAATTAAAACTTTCAACACAAATATCTCAAAAATTAAGGGGAATACCAAAAAATGTTATTCTCTAATTTCAATTTAAAAACTATTTTTCTATAAGATTAATTAATAAGTTTTTTTTTAAAGATGATTATTAATTAGCAACACCCAAAAAAGTAATTAAAAACTTCAACTTTATTAAACAAATTTTATTTTATCATCCCCTCCCTCATTCAAATAATTTTTTTTTAATCTCAAACACTTTTTTCTTATAAAAGAATAAATTTAAAATCAAAAATAGACAGTACCATTTTTTCCTATTGATTTTAATTTAGGAGATATTCCCGCTTAAATGAATCAATTTTTGCGTTTTTAGCAAAAATTAAAACATTCAACACAAATATCTAAAGAACTAAGGGGAATATCAAAAAATTTTATTCTTTAATCTCAATTTAAAAACTCTTTTTCTATGCGATTAATTAATACGATTCTCTATAAAGATGATTATTAATAAGCAACATCCAAAAAAGTGATTAAAAACGTCAACTTTATTAAACAAATTTTATTTTATCATCTCCTCCCTCACTCAAATAATTTTTTTTTAATCTCAAACACTTTTTTTCTTATAAAAGAATAAATTTAAAATCAAAAATAGAGAGTACCATTTTTTCCTATTGATTTTCGTTTGGGAGATATTCCCTCTTAAATGAATCAATTTTTGTGTTTTTAGCAAAAATTAAAACTTTCAACACAAATATCTCAAGAACTAAGGGGAATATAAAAAAATTGTATTCTTTAATTTCGATTTATAAACTATTTTTCTATAAGATTAATTAATAAGTTTCTCTTTAAAGATGATTTTTAATAAGCAACACCCAAAAAAGTGATTAAAAACGTCAACTTTATTAAACAAATTTTATTTTATCATCTCCTCCCTCATTCAAATAATTTTTTTTTAATCTCAAACACTTTTTTTCTTATAAAAGAATAAATTTAAAATCGAAAATAAAGAGTACCATTTTTTCCTATTTATTCTCGTTTGGGAGACATTCCCTCTTAAATGAATCAATGTTTGTGTTTTTAGCAAATAATAAAACTTTCAACATAAATATCTCAAAAACTAAGGGGAATATAAAAAAATTGTATTCTTTAATTTCGATTTAAAAACTCTTTTTCTATACGATTAATTAATACGATTCTGTATAAAGATGATTATTAATTAGCAACACCCAAAAAAGTGATTAAAAACGTCAACTTTATTAAACAAATTTTTTTTATCATCTCCTCCCTCATTGAAATAACCTTTTTTTAGTCTCAAACACATTTTTTCTTATAAAAGACTAAATTTAAAATCGAAAATAAAGAGTACCATTTTTGCCTATTGATTTTAATTTAGGAAATATTCCCTCTTAAATGAATCAATTTTTGCGTTTTTAGCAAAAATTAAAACTTTCAACACAAATATCTCAAAAACTAAGGGGAATATCAAAAAATTGTATTCTTTAATTTCGAATTAAAAACTAGTTTTCTGTAAGAGTAATTAATAAGTTTCTCTTTAAAGATGATTTTTAATTAGCAACACCCAAAAAAGTAATTAAAAACGTCAACTTTATTAAACAAATTTTATTTTATCATCTCCTCCCTCATTCAAATAATCTTTTTTTAATCCCAAACACTTTTTTTCTTATAAAAGAATAAATTTAAAATCGAAAATAAAGAGTACCATTTTTTCCTATTTATTTTCGTTTGGGAGATATTTCCTCTTAAATGAATCAATTTTTGCGGTTTTAGCAAAAATTAAAACTTTCAACACAAATATCTGAAGAACTAAGGGGAATATCAAAAAATTGTAGTCTTTAATTTCGATTTAAAAACTAGTTTTCTATAAGAGTAATTAATAAGTTTCTCTTTAAAGATGATTTTTAATAAGCAACACCCAAAAAAGTGATTAAAAACGTCAACTTTATTAAAGAAATTTTATTTTGTCATCTCCTCCCTCATAGAAATAATCTTTTTTTAATCCCAAACACTTTTTTTCTTATAAAAGAATAAATTTAAAATCAAAAATAGAGAGTACCATTCTTTCCTATTTATTTTAATTTAGGAGATATTCCCTCTTAAATGAATCAATTTTTGCGGTTATAGCAAAAATTAAAACTTTCAACACAAATATCTCAAAAACTAAGGGGAATATAAAAAAATTTTATTCTTTAATTTCGATTTATAAACTACTTTTCTATAAGATTAATTAATAAGTTTCTCTTTAAAGATGATTTTTAATTAGCAACACCCAAAAAAGTGATTTAAAACGTCAACTTTATTAAACAAATTTTATTTTATCATCTCCTCCCTCATTCAAATAATCTTTTTTTAATCTCAAACACTATTTTTCTTATAAAAGAATAAATTTAAAATCGAAAATAAAGAGTACCATTTTTGCCTATTGATTTTAATTTAGGAGATATTCCCGCTTAAATGAATCAATTTTTGCGTTTTTAGCAAAAATTAAAACTTTCAACACAAATATCTCAAAAACTAAAAGGAATATCAAAAAATTATATTCTTTAATTTCGATTTAAAAACTATTTTTCTACAAGATTAATTAATAAGTTTCTCTTTAAAGATGATTTTTAATAAGCAACACCCAAAAAAGTAATTAAAAACGTGAACTTTATTAAACAAATTTTATTTTATCATCTCCTCCCTCATTCAAATAATTTTTTTTTAATCTCAAACACTTTTTTTCTTATAAAAGAATAAATAATAAATTTAAAATCAAAAGTAGAGAGTACCATTTTTTCCTATTGGTTTTTATTTAGGAGATATTCCCTCTTAAATGAAACAATTTTTGCGTTTTTAGCAAAAATTAAAACTTTTAACACAAATATCTCAAAAACTAAGGGGAATATCAAAAAATTGTATTCTTTAATTTCGATTTAAAAACTAGTTTTCTATAAAAGTAATTAATAAGTTTCTCTTTAAAGATGATTATTAATTAGCAACACCCAAAAAAGTGATTAAAAACGTCAACTTTATTAAACAAATTTTTTTTTATCATCTCCTCCCTCATTGAAATAATTTTTTTTTAATCTTAAACATCTTTTTATTTATAAAAGAATAAATTTAAAATCAAAAGTAGAGAGTACCATTTTTTCTTACTGGTTTTTATTTAGGAGATATTTCCTCTTAAATGAATCAATTTTTGCGGTTTTAGCAAAAATTAAAACTTTCAACACAAATATCTTAAGAACTAAGGGGAATATAAAAAAATTGTATTCTTTAATTTCGATTTATAAACTATTTTTCTATAAGATTAATTAATAAGTTTCTCTTTAAAGATGATTTTTAATAAGCAACACCCAAAAAAGTGATTAAAAACGTCAACTTTATTAAACAAATTTTATTTTATCATCTCCTCCCTCATTCAAATAATTTTTTTTTAATCTCAAACACTTTTTTTCTTATAAAAGAATAAATTTAAAATCAAAAATAGAGAGTACCATTTTTTCCTATTGATTTTAATTTAGGAGATATTCCCTCTTAAATGAATCAATTTTTGTGTTTTTAGCAAAAATTAAAACTTTCAACACAAATATCTCAAAAACTAAGGGGAATATCAAAAAATTTTATTCTCTAATTTCGATTTAAAAACTCTTTTTATATACGATTAATTAATACGATTCTCTATAAAGATGAGTTTTAATTAATTTTTAGGAAATCATATCAACTCCAAGACGTCAAAAACAACGACAGCACCATCCTAGATATTGATGATAAGCCTCAAATCGTTCCTATTAGCCCCACAGGCAAGAAAGTCCAATTGGTAATAACCCCATTACTTCACTCATTAAAATAATTAATTTGTGTTCTTCCCCCAGCCGAAAGAGCGCGTTTGTGATATGTCACCCCAAGATCAAAAAGCATGGGAAAAGCAACAATTAAAGCAAATCGTCGACTTCGGCGCTTGCCAAATTGATCCAGCCCCATTCCAACTCGTTGAAAGAACATCGTTATTAAAAGTACACTCAATCTTCTCAATGGTGGGTGTAAACCACGCTTACGTCACAGCAATCGGTCGTTTAGTGGGTGTAGTTGGCCTCAAAGAGTTAAGAAAAGCCATTGAGGACGTAAACAGCGGTGCTTTGCCTTTGGAGATGAACGAAAACGAAGTTATCACATCGGATGATGTTAAAGATGGCAAAGATGAAGAACCGAATGTTACAACGGCTTTAATGCCGAAAGACTCAAAAGCTTAATCATTTTTTCGTTAGTTGAACCTTCCCAGTGATATCCACGTGTATTTAAACGTAATAATTCATATTTAAACTTATAGGATGTAGATTGAAGTCGTTTTTATTTTTAAAACGATTATTATCGATTTTAAATATTAGTAATTATTTAAATGAGAATGTTGTGTATTGATAAGGTTCATAAAGACTCGAAAAGTTGAATTGAATTAAATTTAAAATGCTTATTGTGATCCAAATTAGGTTGTAAGTTTTAAAATGTTATTATAAAAAAAGTATTGTTTTAAAGGTAATTTAAAAATAAAATGTAAATAAAATGTGAGGTTAATAATAAATTGAACCTCAAAATGTTATGTTATGGTATTATTTTTGATTTATAATTTTACACTTCATCAATTAAAAAATGTTTTCATAAAATTTTTATAATCCAACGCCAATGTTTTTATATCTTATCTTAAACTATAATCATTTAGCTTCAATTTAAGATATAAATCGTTTCATAATTGCATAAAATTTAGTTGGTGAGATTTAATAAAAAAAATCGATTCTCGCTTTATATATAAATTTGACACCATCTCACTTAAAAATTTTTTCCGGAAAATTTTTATAGTCTTACCCCAATATTTTTATATCTTATCATAATCTACAATCTTTTCGCTTCAATTTAAGACATAAATCGTTTCTTAACTCCAAAAAATACAGTTGGTGTGATTTTTTAAAAAATCGATTTTCTCTTTATGTATAAACTTGGCACTTCCTCAGTTAAAAGTTTTTTTCGGGAAATATTTATGATCTAACACCAATATTTTTATATCTTATCAAAAACTTCAATTTTTTAGCTTCAATTTAAGATATAAATCGTTTCTTAACTCCAAAAAATACAGTTGGTGTGATTTTTTAAAAAATCGATTTTCTCTTTATGTATAAACTTGGCACTTCCTCAGTTAAAATTTTTTTTCGGGAAATATTTATGATCTAACACCAATATTTTTATATCTTATCAAAAACTTCAATTTTTTAGCTTCAATTTAAGATATAAATCGTTTCATAATTGCATAAAATTTAGTTGGTGAGATTTTTAAAAAAAATCGATTCTCGCTTTATTATAAATTTGACACCATCTCACCTAAAAAATTTTTCCGGAAAATTTTTATAATCTTACCCCAATATTTTTATATCGTATCATAATCTACAATCTTTTCGCTTCAATTTAAGATATAAATCGTTTCTTAACTCCAAAAAATACAGTTGGTGTGATTTTTTAAAAAATCGATTTTCTCTTTATGTATAAACTTGGCACTTCCTCAGTTAAAAGTTTTTTTCGGGAAATATTTATGATCTAACACCAATATTTTTATATCTTATCAAAAACTTCAATTTTTTAGCTTCAATTTAAGATATAAATCGTTTCATAATTGCATAAAATTTAGTTGGTGAGATTTTTAAAAAAAATCGATTCTCGCTTTATTATAAATTTGACACCATCTCACCTAAAAAATTTTTCCGGAAAATTTTTATAATCTTACCCCAATATTTTTATATCGTATCATAATCTACAATCTTTTCGCTTCAATTTAAGATATAAATCGTTTCTTAACTCCAAAAAATACAGTTGGTGTGATTTTTTAAAAAATCGATTTTCTCTTTATGTATAAACTTGGCACTTCCTCAGTTAAAAGTTTTTTTCGGGAAATATTTATGATCTAACACCAATATTTTTATATCTTATCAAAAACTTCAATTTTTTAGCTTCAATTTAAGATATAAATCGTTTCATAATTGCATAAAATTTAGTTGGTGAGATTTTTAAAAAAAATCGATTCTCGCTTTATTATAAATTTGACACCATCTCACCTAAAAAATTTTTCCGGAAAATTTTTATAATCTTACCCCAATATTTTTATATCGTATCATAATCTACAATCTTTTCGCTTCAATTTAAGATATAAATCGTTTCTTAACTCCAAAAAATACAGTTTGTGTGATTTTTTTAAAAATCGATTTTCTGTTTATGTATAAACTTGGCACTTCCCCAGTTAAAAGTTTTTTTCGGGAAATATTTATGATCTAACACCAATATTTTTATATCTTATCAAAAACTACAATTTTTTAGCTTCAATTTAAGATATAAATCGTTACTTATCTCCCAAAAATGCAGTTGGTATGATTTAAAAAAAAATTCCTGTCACACCCCAATCTTGAAACAACTTGACTTGGATATTTCACATTGTGTATTAGGATGACATATTACAAGAGGTTTCTTTTAAGAAGCAGTTTTCTTTTTTATCAGATTGTACGTCTTGAATAATAGATGTCGCTCGATACTTTGTAAAATTTATTTATTTTTAAATATTTATAAAACTAAAGGAATACTAAAGAAGTTTTTATTACAGTACAAAATCGATTGTTTACTTAATATTTGAATAAAAAATATAAATATTTTAAAAATTAATTAGTTCTGACCGATTCGTTATGTCATTGTGCAATAGATGTCGCTTGGAACCATTTTGTGCCAATTAATTCAACTTTATTCTAAAGTATTGAATCGAAAATTATAAAAAAATTAATTTTCAATTTTAATTAAATCCATTTTAGCATTCCTTCAGTTTGTATTATTCAAGAGATTCAATCTGACAAAAATGAAAACTGCTTTTATGTTTCAACGATTCGTTATGTTATTGTGCAATAGATGTCGCCTAGTAACCATTTTATATCAATTAATTCAAATTAATTGTAAACTATTTCAATAAAAACCTTTCTAATATTCCTTCAGTTTGATGAAAGTTTAAAAATAAATAAATTAAAAAAATTATCGATCAACATCTATTATCCAGTAGGATCAATCTTATCAAATTACTCCTGATGCAATTTGTGAGCAGCAATTTACCTCCTCAGTATTATGTGGTCCTAATACAAAATGCGAAAAATCCAACATCAAGTTGTTTCAAGATTTGACAAGGACTTTTTTTTAATCTTCTTCTACCCAGATATCAAATTAAAGCTTTGATTCAAACTTTATCTGTAATTCTATGTATAATAAGTAATCATAAAGTTTCGAAATAATAAATAAATAATCGAAAAATGTCAATGTTTAATTATGGGAGGAAACGAAAATATTTGTTAAACTTTAAAAAATCATACCGACTTTATTTATAGGAATTAACAAATAATTTTTATCTTAAATTAAAGCTTAAACTTTAAGCTTTAAGTCTATTTGTAATAAATAATACGTTTGATGATAAACTTTGTTTATTAAAATCGAAAAATATCAATGCTTAATTATGGCAAGAAACGAAAATATTTGATAAACTTTAAAAAATCATACCGACTTTATTTATAGGAATTAAGAAACGACTTTTATATCAAATTAAAGCTTAAACTTTAATCTTCAATTTGATGTGTTATAAGTAATACCTTTGATTATAAAGTTTGTTTGCAAAATCGAAAAATGTCAATGCTTAATTATGGGAAGAAACGAAAATAATTGATAAATTTTAAAAAATCATACCGACTTTATTTATAGCAATTAAGAAACGACTTTTATATCAAATTAAAGCTTAAACTTTAATCTTCAATTCGATGTGTTATAAGTAATACGTTTGATTATAAAGTTTGTTTGTAAAATCGAAAAATGTCAATGCTTAATTATGGGAAGAAACGAAAATAATTGATAAATTTTAAAAAATCATACCGACTTTATTTATAAGAATTAAGAAACGACTTTTATATCAAATTAAAGCTTAAACTTTAATCTTCAATTTAATGTGTTATAAGTAATACCTTTGATTATAAAGTTTGTTTGCAAAATCGAAAAATGTCAATGCTTAATTATGGGAAGAAACGAAAATATTTGTTAAACTTTAAAAAATCATACCGACTTTATTTATAGCAATTAAGAAGCGACTTTTATATCAAATTAAAGCTTAAACTTTAATCTTCAATTCGATGTGTTATAAGTAATACGTTTGATTATAAAGTTTGTTTGCAAAATCGAAAAATGTCAATGCTTAATTATGGGAAGAAACGAAAATATTTGATAAATTTTAAAAAATCATACCGACTTTATTTATAGGAATTAAGAAACGACTTTTATATCAAATTAAAGCTTAAACTTTAATCTTCATTTTGATGTGTTATAAGTAATATCTTTGATTATAAAGTTTGTTTGTAACATCGAATAATGTCAATGCTTAATTATGGTAATAACCGAAAATATTTGCTAAACTTTAAAAAATCATACCGACTGCATTTTTAGGAATTAAGAAACGACTTTTATATAAAATTAAAGCTTAAACTTTAATCTTTAATTCTATCTATAATAAGTAATACGTTTGATTATAAAGTTTGGTTGTAAAATCGAAAAATGACAATATTTAATTATGGTAATAACCGAAAATATTTGCTAAACTTTAAAAAATCATATCGACTCCATTTTTAGAAATTAAGAAACGACTTTTATATCAAATTAAAGCTTAAACTTTAATCTTCATTTTGATGTGTTATAAGTAACATCTTTGATTATAAAGTTTGTTTGTAAAATCGAAAAATGTCAATGCTTAATTATGGGAAGAAACGAAAATATTTGCTAAACTTTAAAAAATCATACCGACTGCATTTTTAGGAATTAAGAAACGACTTTTATATAAAATTAAAGCTTAAACTTTAATCTTTAATTCTATCTATAATAAGTAATACGTTTGATTATAAAGTTTGGTTGCAAAATCGAAAAATGACAATGTTTAATTATGGTAATACTCGAAAATATTTAATGAACTTTAAAAAATCATACCGACTCCATTTTTAGGAATTAAGAAACGATTTATATCTTAAATTGAAGCTAAAATATTGCAATTTATGATAATATGTAAAAACATTGATGTATGATTACAAAAGTTTCTCGAAAACACTTTGTTAATAAAAGAAATATCAAATTAATACATAAACAGAAAATATATGTTTTTTCAAAAAAATTTATAATCCTACATCAATGTTTTTATACCTTATCATAAACTGCAATCTTTTAGCTCCAATTTAAGACATAAATCGTTTCTTAACTCTTAAAAATGCAGTCGATATTATTTTTTTAACAATTTCATCTTTAATAATTTTTTGTTGAAAATGTCAATAATATTATTATTTATTATAATTTTTATAGCACACCCTAAACTAGAATCTTTAAGCTTTAATGTAACATATATATCATATAATAATTCTTAAAAACAGAGCCGATATGATTTTGCTAAGATAATCAGAAAGAAGCGAGAATGAAACAGATTCATGTTTAAGAATTAATTTCTCAATAACTAAAAGAGATTTTAGGAAGCGGTTTTTTTCATTGAAAAGCTTACAATTTTATTAATAAACTGTAATAGTAGTTATTTAAAATCCGATTCTATAAATAAATCGTATTTAGTTAGATTTTACTTCGTGAATTTTTGTTCTGTTTAAAGGTAATGGAATTAACGGTAATAAATCGACCTTTACTTTAATAAATAAGCATATTTTTGTAAAATATCGAAATAACCTAGTCATTTTGACCTAAAATACAGACCACAATGTAAAACTTTTTTGCGTTCCCTTGCTAAGTAAACATGTTTTGAACATGGAGCGAGCGAGAAATCGACGTGGAAACGCGAACTGTTTTTGACCCGATTTGAGGATGTTACCCCAAATATATTGATTAAATGTTGTTGCATTATGATTTTAAAACATTTAAAGATCATTTTTGTTTAAAATGTTTTTGTTTTTAATAATTAATAGCGCCGTGTAACGACGACAAAGTTGACGTTCACTGATTTATGAGCGATTTCGCCCATTTCAACGCTCGCTACGCGACAAAATTGCCTGATTATGAGTTCTTTTTTTGAGCTAATTTTAAGTTTACATCTTTTGGAATATAAAAATGTAATGTATTAATGCGTACGTCGAAACGTTGACGAGAAATAATTGTTTAATTAGAACGCTGCGAACACGAGTGCGTCGTTCTGTTATCCGGAGCGGAGTCGTGCGCTAAACAGCGGTTTCTGGCTTCGGTACGCGTGGTTTAATGTGGGGTTCGGTAGCGATAGAACTCTGGCACTCGCAAAGTGTTACTCAACGTTTTTGTTGCATTTCAAAGTTTTGAATTTGATTATAATACTTCGACAATGACGGACGTAGAATCGCAAGAACAAAACAACTTGGCCTCAACCGCAGAAGATGCTTCGCCTGTAAAGGTTAAAGCTGAAACGGCGACGAAGAAGAAAAGCCCGCGATCAAAAGCGACTCATCCACCCACATCTGAAATGGTTAATTCCGCGATTAAAAGCCTCAAAGAACGCGGAGGATCATCAGTTCAAGCTATTAAGAAGTATATGGCTGCGAATTACAAAGTCGACGCAGAAAAAATGGCCCCATTCATCAAGAAATTCTTGAAATCCGCCGTTGCTTCAGGGACTATCATCCAAACCAAAGGGAAAGGAGCATCTGGATCGTTTAAATTGGCATCGGTGCCTTCGAAAAAGCCCGATAAACCAGCTCCGAAACCCAAACGGAAGGCTACCGCAGTATTAAAGAAATCAAAAGCTCGCGCTGCCACCGCGAAAGCAGCATCGCCCGCAAAGCCCAAAAAACCGGCGACAACCACTTCTCCCGCCAAGAAAAAGGCGGCAGCCAAAGCAAGGAAATCGCCAGAAAAGAAAGAAACCACGAGTACCGTAGCGGCTGCAACCAAAACGGCCGCCGCGACGAAAGCTAAATCGCCCTCAAAGGCTAAAAAGACCACTAAAAGCCCTACTAAAAAACCGAAAGCGCCGAAACCCAAAACCGCCAAGAAAGTTGTCGCTCAAAAATCGCCAGCGAAAAAGAAGGCATCCCCGAAGAAAAAGTGAACGTAATTAGATGGAGTATCAAACATTTTTGAAATTTTATTACGACTAAGGTCAAGCCCCACAAAGGCCCTTTTTAGGGCCACAATTTTATTTATGAAAAAGAATTTTAGTATATTATTATATTAACAAATCAAATTTTTTTTATAAGGCGTCCGACAATTAAGCCCCGCCTCTCAACGCTGGCGAGTAATTCTACGCTGTGATTCGTCGAGACGACGACCGAGAATAAACCGCTACTTTGAAAGAATTATCTGTTAATAATAATCGGTTTTTACTCGATTTATGCAATTATATAACAAGTAATGTACATATAGAATAATTTGGTTCATTATAAACAAATAATTCCTAAAGTATTTTTCTCCACCACCTTTGCTTTATGAATTATGATAGAGTTTAATTACTAAAACCATCCATTTTTAACATTTTGGACATTTTCACATTCTAACTAGAATACGGTTTGTAGTTAAACCTGGTTGAAGATAATGTTTCTTTGGTTCATTATAAACAATTTATTCTCCAAATACTTTTCTCGACCGTACTCCACCTTTACTTTATGAGTTATGAGCGAGTTTAATTACAAAAACCAACAATTTTCACATTTTAACCTGAATCAACTAGAATACGGTTATAGCTGAGTTAATCCTGGTTGTGCATAACGTCTTTTTGGTTCATTATGAACAATTTATTCCCCACATACTTTTCTCCATCACCTATACTTTATGGGTAATGATCGAATTTAACTAAAAAAATCACCAATTTTGACATTTTGGAGATTTTAACATTCTAACTAAAATACGGTTGTAGCTGAGTAAAACCTGATTGTGAATAATGTTTTTTTGCTTCATTATAAACAATTTATTCTCCAAATACTTTTCTCCACCACCTTTACTTTATGAGTTATGATCGAATTTAATTACAAAAACCACCAATTTTGACATTTTCACATTCTAACTAGAATATGGTTATAGCTGAGTTAAACCTGGTTGTGGATAATGTCTTTTTGATTCATTATAAACAATTTATTCTCCAAATGTTTTTCTCCACCACCTTTACTTTATGAGTTATGATCGAATTTAATTAAAAAAATCACCAATTTTGACATTTTGGAGATTTTAACATTCTAATTAAAATACGGTTATAGCTGAGTTAAACCTGGTTGTGGATAATGTCTTTTTGATTCATTTTAAACAATTTATTCCCCAAATACTTTTTTCCATCACCATTACTTTATGAGTTATGATCCAATTTTATTACAAAACCACCAATTTTGACATTTTGGACATTTTCACATTCTAACTGGAATATGGTTATAGTTGAGTTAAAACTGGTTGTGGATAATGTCTTTTTGATTCATTATAAACAATTTATTCCCCAAATACTTTTCTCCATCACCATTATTTTGTGAGTTATGATCCAATTTAATTACAAAACCACCAATTCTGACATTTTGGACATTTTCACATTCTAACTAGAATATGGTTATAGTTGAATTAAACCTGGTTGTGGATAATGTCTTTTTGATTCATTATAAACAATTTATTCCCCAAATACTTTTCTCCATCACCTTTACTTTATGAGTTATGATCGAATTTAATTACAAAACCACCAATTTTGACATTTTGGACATTTTCACATTCTAACTAAAATACGGTTATAGCTGAGTTAAACCTGGTTGTGGATAACGTCTTTTTGATTCATTATAAACAATTTATTCTCCAAATGCTTTTCTCCACCACCTTTACTTTATGAGTTATGATCGAATTTAATTACAAAACCACCAATTTTGACATTTTGGACATGTTTACATTTTAACTACAATACATTTATAGCTGAGGTAAACCTGGTTAAGGACAATGTCGTCTAGGTTCATTATAAACAATTTATTCCCCAAATACTTTTCTCCATCACCTATACTTTATGGGTAATGATTGAATTTAATTAAAAAAAATCACCTATTTTGACATTTTAGACATTTTCACAATCTAACTAGAATATGGTTATAGTTGAATTAAACCTGGTTGTGAATAATGTCTTTTTGCTTCATTATAAACAATTTATTCTCCAAATGCTTTTCTCCACCACCTTTACTTTATGAGTTATGATCGAATTTAATTACAAAACCACCAATTTTGACATTTTGGACATGTTTACATTTTAACTACAATACATTTATAGCTGAGGTAAACCTGGTTAAGGATAATGTCTTCTAGGTTCATTATAAACAATTTATTCCCCAAATACTTTTCTCCATCACCTTTACTTTATGAGTTATGATCGAATTTAATTACAAAATCACCAATTTTGACATTTTGGACGTTTTCACATTCTAATTAGTATATAGTTATATCTGAGTTAAACCTGGTTCTGGATAATGTCTTTTTGATTCACTATAAACAATTTATTCCCCAAATACTTTTCTCAATCACCTTTACTTTATGAGTTATGATCCAATTTAATTACAAAACCACCAATTTTGACATTTTGGACATTTTCACATTCTAATTAGAATATGGTTATAGCTGAGTTAAACCTGGTTGTGGATAATGTCTTTTTGGTTCATTATAAACAATTTATTCCCCAAATACTTTTCTCCATCACCTTTACTTTATGAGTTATAATCGAATTTAATTACAAAACCACCAATTTTGACATTTTGGACATGTTCACATTTTAACTAGAATACAGTTATAGCTGAGTTAAACCTGGTTGTGGATAATGTCTTTTTGATTCATTATAAACAATTTATTCCCCAAACACTTTTCTCCATCACCATTACTTTATGAGTTATTATCGAATTTAATTACAAAACCACCAATTTTGACATTTTTGTCATTTTCACATTTTAACTAGAATACGGTTATAGCTGAGTTAAACCTGGTTGTGGATAACGTCTTTTTGATTCATTATAAACAATTTATTCCCCAAATACTTTTCTGCATCACCTTTACTTTATGAGTTATGATCGAATTTAATTACAAAAACCACCAATTTTGACATTTTGGACATTTTCACATTCTAACTAGAATACGGTTATAGCTGAGTTAAACCTGGTTGTGGATAACGTCTTTTTGGTTCATTATAAACAATTTATTCCCCAAATACTTTTCTCCATCACCTTTACTTTATGAGTTATTATTACAAAAACCACCAATTTTGACAATTTGGGAGGTTTTATTGAATCAAACTTTTTCCAAATCGTTTCTAAATATATCGATGACTTATTATAAAATAGAATCTCTTAGCTTTATTTTGAGATATAAATCATTTTCTAACTCACAACAAAAACGCTTTTAAAATTAGTCATTTATTTTTAGGAATGATTTTTGGAACAATTTAAGCATTTAAAAAATACATAGTTTTTATAATCTGTGTTATAATCTTATCAATTAACTTAATTAAAATACACATTTGATATCAAACAACATGATCTAATTTGTTTCTCAAAAACTGCGTTTTCTCCATCACGGTGTAAATAAAAGGACGTTCACTCGGATTTATTCTCAAAATGTATCTGATTAAATCAATCACATCCTGAAAAAAATATTAAATTTTAATTAAACACTCCTCAATAAGTCATTTTTAATACTTAACCTGCGAATAAGGTGAATCTTCGGGAAACGGAATATTTCCAGATAATACTGCTAAAGCCACGGAGTCCCCACGTTCATAAACAATGTCAAAAGGACTTTTAAAGAAACATAAAGCGTATAAAAGACACCCTAAACTCCAAATATCCGTTCGTTCATCGATAACACAATAACTCTCAACATTAAACAACTCCGGAGCCCTATAAGGCATTGAACATCGTTCCGCTGCAATATCTTGCAACCTCTGAGCATCTGTTGACCCACAAACTTGAACTCTCGCAGGCGCCATAGACCCAAAATCCATTAAAACAGGACTAAAACTCTCCGTAAAGCAAATATTCGCCGTTTTTATATCACGATGAGCCAAAGGCTCCGGTTTAGCTTCGTGAATGAATTTAACCCCTTCGCAGATTTGATTAAATATCCTTAAAACCTCTTTAACATTAACGTGATCTTTACTTAACGATTTTAATCCTAAATAATCGTGCAAACTCCCTTTTTTTAGATACGGCAGGACCATATAAACAACAGAGGTTACGTTTACAACGATATCAGCTGATCCTTTAAATGTTGAGTCGATTAATTCGATTAGATTGGGGTGTTTTAGTTTTTTGTAGTAATCGATTTCTTGTAATGCTATTTTTTGGTCTTCGATGCTGTGACAGGTTATTTTTTTGAGTGCGTAAAGCTTTTTGGTGTGCACGTTTTGGACTAAATCGATTGTACTGAATCCACTGAAAATTAAAATAATTAGATTAAATTACAAATTGTTAGGTGAAATAAAAAGTTTTGGTTAACAGCTGTTTGTAATAAAATTAAAAATAAGATTTTACCCTTCCCCAAGGTGTTCTTTGACGGTATATTTAGTTCCATTGATGTTTATCGTTTCCCTCGTACAAAAACAACCCATTTTCATTATTAAAGTGAGCCCCAAAGTGTTCATTTTCCCCCTACATAACCTAAAAGTGAATTAGTTGTCAGTTTTGGTGTTTTTGACGTTTAAAATGTTTTATAGATTTTAGGTTGGTAATGGTTATTATGAAAATAATGAAATAACTCCTTATCTTTTTGCAAATTAGTTAATATTAATAAATTTAAATGAAATATAATTTTATTTTAGTTTTTAAATCAAACGATTTTCATAATAACCTGAAGTTACCTCCATTTTTTCGTTATGTCAAACGTCAAAAATTAAATCATTTTTTTAAATTTTACTTCAATTTTCCTTTCGATTTCGATGGAAAATGATAAATAACCTCTTTTTATAATGAGCGTTAATCGTCAGGGTTATAAACAATTTATTACACTATAGCTATTTGTGTATTAAGAGCGGAAAGTGATACTTTGCCGCTTGAGGCAGAGAGTTGCCGCTTGAGGCAATCTGCAGAAAGCGGTAACGCACTTTCTGCTCGAATTGCACACAAGACTTTTTCTACGATCACAAAAACAGACAATTTTTTTATAAACTAAAAATGAAATAATGACGTTTCATTAATTTCATAGTCTAGGTGTATAATGTATTGCCTACCTTCTGATTGTTATATTTTTACTATAGTTTGTTTTTTTTCTATAATACTTGTCAATGTAAATTTTTTTGGGTTTTTGTTGGTATTATCTAGGACCCTTATAAAATTTATGTTGTTTTCTTGATTTTTAGTAACATTTTCAGTAACTAAATAGTTGATGTTAAAATTCTAATAAATTTTTAAATAAATACGATTTTAATAAAGTACATATTTGTTGTAAAAACGTGCTACAAAGTAATTAAATAGAACAAAACACCTTTTCTAGGTATAATAAATGGCAAATAAACGATTTGCCAAATAAAGAATTTTTGAATAACGAAAGTTCAAACGTCAGTGTGACATATTTATTTCAAAACATGACTCCCTGTTAATTTTGCCAACTTTACAACAATTTGGCAGGTATTAGAAAAAAAATGAACTATAGGTAAATTTTATAAAATAAGGTTTAATTTCGTTCGAAATATCTTCAAATATTAATATTTCAACTAAAATATTCAGACTACCCTACATTTCGTTTTAATATACCTATTATCCTTGTTTATAGATTATCTTTCTTTAGTGTTTTGTAAATGAAAACAGGCGAGCGGAAAAGTACGCTCTAGAGCGGAAATAATGTCAAATTATGACAGATCACGGAAAACATCAACTTTGCGGTTAGATTTGAGTGTGCAAAAGCCTATAGTTCGTTTTTTTTCTATAATACTTGTCAATGTAAATTTTTAGGGTTTCTGTTGGTATTATTTAGGACCCTTATAAAATTTACGTTATTTTCCTGATTTTTAGTAACATTTTTAGTAACTAAATAGTTGAGGTTAAAATATTAATAAATTTGTAGATAAATACGATTTTAACGAAGTACATATTTATTGTAAAAACGTGCTAAAAAATAATTAAATAGAACAAAACACCTTTTCTAGGTAAGTAAATGGCAAATAAATACCTCACAACATTTTTTATGCACCTTTTCTTTTGGAATAACGAAAGCTCAAACGTCAGTGTGACGTATCTATTTCAAAACATGATAAAACAAAATTCCTTGTTAATTTTGCCAACTTTACAACAATTTGACAGGTATTATAGAAAAAAAATGAACAATTCTCAGGCCAATTTTTTTTTTATGACCTTTTATATTTCTTTCCTTATCTTGATGTTTATTTGATTAGTTTTTCAGTTATAACTCAAGAATCATTGATGATTTCTCATTTCATTCTTCAGCAAAGACTAAGGCTTAATAATTTTCATTAATATATCCATGTAAAAAATTAAGTTGGACCAATTTTATGGACTCAAAAAATTGTCAAATTTCGAAAAAAAAAAATTTTATTTGTTAAATAACGTCTTTACTCGAGAGTTCTACGAATTGTAACTATAAAAGAGTATTCTAATATAAGTATATAGTAATATAGTAGTACTATATTAGAGAGAACAATATTTATTTGGAATATAAAAATAATAACTATAACAAATACGAATAAATAAAAGAAAGTCATATATAAAACAAATATAAGATAAGTTCAAAAGGGCTATAGACCTGAGTCTTCCTGCTCGAAGAGTATTGATTTTATGTAAAATAACAAAAATTAAGGACAAATTTAGTTTAAAGAAGAACAAAGTTTATATGTTCATAAACATTGCTCTAGAGTCTAGGCCTTTTCGATGGTGATTGTTGTGGGCTAGTGTCATCGCTATCGCTGTCATCAGTTTCTAAACCACACATAATGTCAACTTGTGACTCCATTGCTGACCCTACTTCAACTTCTAGAAATTATTCATCATCAGGATAATCCATGTCTTCGAAGACATGTCTACTACACCAGCAAATTTCCGCAGGTATTGAACTCGGCGACTGTTTTCCTCTGTATCTGATTTGTTTTTTTTTTATTAAAATGAGTTTGAAAAAAAATCTCATAGATATTACCTAATTTCAAATGGCATAGCAACTTGATGGTAGCGTTCGTCTTGTTCATCAGATTCAGTGGCCAATTGTCTGCTGAAGTAGTCCAGATGACGTAAATAGTAATTTTCAAGGACATGTGGACGCCAATTTTCGAGAACGATGTTAACATCCTTGCAACAGAAACATTGTAGTTGCTAGAACGATGTTTTCCCAACAAGCCTTCTATTACTTCGTTAATTGCGTTCCAAGCATCCGTATTTCACATTTTATATGGACATAAACATTCAATTTAACGCGAAAAATGGAAGTGTGCAAGCCAGATATAAATTGCTTTTGCTACTGCTGCGGTAAATATGTCCCAAAACATAAAAAAAAGGAAATTTCAGTGCATATTTTGTTCAAACATACTTCCACCAAAATGTTATAGTGAACAAAAATTGGGTTCCAAATATAGTGTGTAAAACTTGTTACAATCGTTTAATGGATTGGAATAATAGAAGACGTGAATCTATGCCATTCGGTATTCCAATGATTTGGACTAATCCTGGCGACGGTCACAATCTATTGAACTGCTACGCATGTGCCAATAAAGGAGCCGCATTAAGAAAAACGGCAAGAAAATCATATAATTACGTTGGTGTTGCAAGTGGCCAAAGACCTTATTCGGGCTACATTCCTGTACCAAAATGTTTCAGCCCAGATCTATCTTCTGTGATTGCTCCGACTTTTACATCAATATATGATTCAAGTGATGATCCCCCATATGATCCCGAACCATCTGTATCCAATCAGCCTATTTTAATAAATCAAAATCAGCTTGATTCTATTGTTGCTAAATCAGAATTAACACAGCATAAATCAGAACAGCTGGCTTCGTTTTTTAAATCAAACAATTTTTTAGCACCCGGTACGAAAGTCAGGCAACACTCCAAAGTTTATTTGTTGTGATGTAGGAAAAATTTGCTGGTGAAGTAGACATGTCTTCGAAGACATGGATTATCCTGATGATGAATAATTTCCAGAAGTTGCAGTAGGGTCAGCAATGGAGTCACAAGTTGACATTATGTGTGACTTAGAAACTGATGACAGCGATGATTGCAATAGCGATGACACTAACCCATAACAATCACCATCGAAAAGGCCTCGACTCTAGAGCAATGTTTATGAACATATAAACTTTGTTCTTCTTTAAACTAGTTTGTCCTTAATTTTTGTTAATTTTCATAAAATCAATACTCTTCGGGCAGGAAGACTCAAGTCTATAGCCCTTTTGGACTTATCTTATATTTGTTTTATATGTATTTTTTTTTTATTTATTCGTATTTGTTATAGTTATTATTTTTATATTCCAAATAAATATTGTTCTCTCTCTCAGAATACGCTTTTATAGTTAAAATTCGTAGATCTCTCGAGTAAAGACATTATTTTTCAAAGAGAATTTTTTTTATTTTCGAGATTTGACAATTTTTTAAAAATTTCAGTCGATAAAATTAGTCCAACTTAATTTTTTACATGGATATGTTAATGAAAATTATTTATTTAAGCCTTAGTCTTTGCTGAAGAATGAAATGAAAAATCATCAATGATTCTTGAGTTATAACTGAAAAACTAAGCAAACAAACATTAAAAAAAGAAATATAAAAGGTCATAAAAAAAAGTTTGGCCTGAGAACGTCAAACTCTTTGGAGGTTTTACTGTATGGATCTAGTACTTTCACCCTGACTTAAAATTTTTTCACCCCCCAGAATGGCTGTTGCGCTGTGTTATAGCTTAACAACTTATTTTAACAACTTATTCCCGAAATACTTTTTTCCATCACCTTTACTTTATAAGTTATGATGGAATGTACATATTTACAAAAACCACCAATTTTGACATTTTGGATATTTTCACATTCTAATTAGAATGCAGTTATAGCTGAGATAAACCTAGTTGTGGATAATATCTTCTTGGTCCTTTATAAACAATTTACTCCCCAAATACTTTTCTCCGTCATCTTTATAAGTTAAGTACGAAGGCTTTCACGGCCGGTGTGAATTAAACTAAGATTAGAACTATCTTAGTTTAATCTTTATAAGTTATGATCAAGTTTAATCACAAAAACCACAAATTATGACATTTTGATATTCTACTAAAATATGGTTATAGCTGAATTAAACCTGGTTGTGGATAATGTCTTTTTGGTTCATTATAAACAATTTATTCCTCAAATACTTTTCTCCATCACCTTTACTTTATGAGTTATGACCGAGTTTAATTACAAAAATCACCAATTTTGACAGTTTGGGGATTTTCACATTTTAACTAGAATACAGTTATAGCTGAGTTAAACCTGGTGGTGGATAATATCTTCTTGGTTCATTATAAACAATTTATTCCCTAAATACTTTTCTCCATCATCTTTACTTTATGAATTATGACCGAGTTTAATTACAAAAACCATCAATTTTGACATTTTCACATTCTAACTAGAAGACGGATATAGCTAACTTAAACCTGGTTGTGGATAATGTCTTTTTGATTCATTATAAACAATTTATTCCCCAAATACTTTTCTCCATCACCTTTACTTTATGAGTTATGATCGAATTTAATTACAAAACCACCAATTTTAACATTTTGGACATGTTCACATTTTAACTAGAATACAGTTATAGCCGAGGTAAACCTGGTTGAGGATAATATTTTCTTGGTTTATTATAAACAATTTATTCCCTAAATACTTTTCTCCATCACCTATACTTTATGGGTAATGATCGAATTTAATTAAAGAAAATCACCTATTTTGACATTGGGGACATTTTCACATTCTAACTAGAATATGGTTATAGTTGAGTTGAACCTGGTTGTGAATAATGTCGTTTTGATTCATTATAAACAATTTATTCCCCAAATACTTTTCTCCATCACCTTTACTTTATGAGTTATGATCAAATTTAATTACAAAACCACCAATTTTGACATTTTGGACATGTTCACATTTTAACTAGAATACAGTTATAGCTGAGGTAAACCTGGTTGAGGATAATGTCTTCTTGGTTCATTATAAACAATTTATTCCCTAAATACTTTTCTCCATCACCTATACTTTATGGGTAATGATCGAATTTAATTAAAGAAAATCACCTATTTTGACATTTTGGACATTTTCACATTCTAACTAGAATACCGTTATAACTGAGTTAAACCTGGTTCTGGATAATGTCTTTTTGGTTCATTATAAACAATTTATTCCCCAAATGCTTTTCTTCATCACCTTTACTTTATGAGTTATGAGCGAGTTTAATTACAAAAACACCAATTTTGCCATTATGGACATTTTCACATTCCAACTAGAATATGGTTATAGCTGAGTTAAACCTGGTTCTGGATAATGTCTTTTTGGTTCATTATAAACAATTTATTCCTCAAATACTTTTCTCCATCACTTTTACTTTTCGAGTTATGACCGTGTTTAATTAAAGAACCATCAATTTTGACATTTTCACATTCTAATTAGAAGACGGATATAGCTAAGTTAAACCTGGTTGTGGATAATGTCTTTTTGATTCATTATAAACAATTTATTCCCCAAATACTTTTCTCCATCACCTTTACTTTATGAGTTATGATCGAATTTAATTACAAAACCACCAATTTTAACATTTTCACATTCTAACTACAATATGGTTATAGCTAAGTTAAACCTGGTTGTGGTTAATGTCTTTTTGGTTCATTATAAACAATTTATTCCCCAAATACTTTTCTCCATCACCATTAGTTTATGAATTATGATTGAGTTTAACTACGAAAACTCCAAAGTATTAATTTTCCTCCTTCATAACTGTTCATAACCTACGTAACCTCAAATCGCTTGAAACTTTCTTCTTCTTCACAATGATAAAGCTTGGCAATGGGATTTGGATACTTGTCCTTATTACCTCCCAGTCACTGCGGCCTGAAACTTAATCATTTCATCACTGACAACTGCTGACAGTTGTCAGTTTTGTTGTTTGTGTCGTTTAAACTAATTCAGATTTTAGGTTGGTACCGTTTACTATGAAAATGATGAAATAATTCCTTATTTTTTTTACAAATTAGTAAACATTAATAAATTATTACTTTAAATCAAATATTAAGTAATAAAATATAATTTTATTTTGATTTTTAAATCAAACGATTTTCATAATAACCTGAAGTTAGCTTCATTTTTTCGTTGTATCAAACGTCAAAAATAAATTAAACAATTTTTATTTTTTTTAAATATTTATTTTAATTTTCCTCTCGATTTCGATGGAAAATGTTAAACAACCTCTGTTTATAATGAGCGTTAATCGTAAGGGTCAAAATATATTTACGGATCAAGCGGATCCCACAAAAAGGTGGATTGTTGATATAACCTCACTTTTTTTTTGTAATTATTTCTTTAATTGCAGCTATATTTTTGACGATGACGGTAATTTAACCAGTGAAAGAGTTGAGGGGATTAAAAATGAATCTTCTAGTAATAACTATCAAGATGAGGATGATAGCATAATTCTTGAAAATAGCATGGAAGGATTAAACGAGCCCACTCAACTTGGTACGATTTAAAATAATTTTTGATTTACCCCTAATGAATTGTTTTTTTTAGAGATGATGGATAGTTTGGATGAAGTGAGTGGCTTTGAAGACAGTTTAATGCGAGAATTAGATTCAGGGTTATTAAATATTGAGAATAACGATCATGAGAATAACATAATCGTTTTACACATGGATATTCGAGACCCTTTGAATAAATTGAAGCGGTTGTTGGAGCAAAAAGTTGGAAAGCGGTTAATTGGGTTTGTGTTTTGCTTGCAAGGAACCCAATTGGTAAAAAATTTCTTTTAAAAACATTAAGTTTTACTATTTTTGGTAATTTTTAGTTAGAGGGGCACAAAAATTTGGTCGATCAATGCGTGCAAGGTGAAGGAACGGTCCAAATTAACGTCCAATTACAACCACATTTAAATCGTATCAATATAATCGACGTTTTAAAGCCTGCGGACGATTACATCGATATCGAAGAAGATGAAGAAGATTCCAAAGATGTTTGTAAATCCGAAATTAAGCAAAATATTAAAAAAGAAGACACAAAAAAGAACGTGGTTCAATGGCAAGTTGATGTTGCGTTTAAAAAGGAGCAAGAACGTTTAAAAATTCCTTCCGACCCACAACAATGGACCATGTTACACGTTCGGCATTGGGTGCAATGGGCTGTGAGGCAATTTAACCTCCCAAACTTAAAACTTTCCGATTGGTCGTTAAACGGGGTCCAATTGTATAAATTAACGCTCCAAGATTTTCAAAAAATGGTTCCAAACGATCCCGGGGATGTTTTTTGGACCCATTTAGAGCTGTTGCGCAAAATGAAAGTGGTCGCTATCATCAAGGAAACCCCCGAGGATGTTAAAAAACAACCTAAATTAATGAAACAAAGTAAAATTAATCGAATTATTCCGAATTACTCCTCGAGTCTCCCTCATTTTGAGGTTATTGGTGGGGGGAATTCGGGGAATCGTAGTGGAAATAACGGACAAGTACAGTTATGGCAGTTTTTGTTGGAGTTATTAACGAGTCGGGAGTATAAAGGGATTATTCATTGGATTGGGAATGAGGGGGAGTTTAAGTTGAGTAAGCCGGAGACTGTGGCGCATTTGTGGGGAGGGCGCAAAAATAAGCCTACAATGAATTATGAGAAGTTGTCAAGGGCGTTGAGGTACTATTATGATGGGGATATGATTTCGAAAGTGCATGGGAAACGGTTTGTTTATAAATTCGTTTGTGATTTGAAACAATTGTTGGGTTATAGTGCGGTTGAGTTGGCGAATTTGGTGAATTTTGGGAATGCGCGTGGACAAGTTTATTGAGATACTTTGTTGATAAAGATTGTTTATAATTAAAAAATTAAGTTATGGATTAATCGTTTTTTGTTTCCACCAAGTAAAGTCTTCCAAACGTTTCGGTACATTTAAGTTATAACTCAAATCTACACAAATAACAATGAATTAACCCATTAGCGCATACTGTCTCTTAAAAGGGACGTCATAATTGAATTTTATAACTTAATTCATTAATAATTGGCGCCACCTATTATGCATTTGTTGCACTCTACTTGCGCGCCACATTTATTACTGTTTTAACATTTATCATCATTAATCTAGGGAAACTTTGCCAGGTCTTTATTCTCAAAAAATACTGAAATTCTCGCTTATGGAGAAGTCGAACAGTTATAAAATTAACAATTTTTGTTATATTAGGGTTTGACTATCGCGACATCTGTATGTAAAAGTAAGAATAAGTGGTGTGAAGTTGGTTACGTATAATAACCGGATGTTGTATAAGATCTAAGATGTCTGAGAATGACGACGGAGAGTTTTTATAAATATATTGTGGAGTTAAATTAAAACCTACTGCGTTTTACTACTAGCAAAGTTCAATATGTTACAACAGATATTACATTATTCAGTTCTGAAAATCCTGATTTAGCACATAATACCTCCTGATGGATAATGCAATTGAATTTTTCCAACTATATTTGGTGCCCCATCTGTTGTGACCGATACAATTTTAGAGATATGAATCTTAATTCACTGAACGTTTCTATAACAAGTTTACATAAATTTCGTTTTCTGATGTACCGGATGGTTCAAATTCGATGTCTGAATAGGCTAACTCGAAAACTATAAGAGTTAGAAGAAAAGTAGCTGACATGTCATGATCTCGTTTTTCGAGAAACTGCTAATGCCGAAAACCTCATAGCGCTATCGTCTTTTGTTTTTCTGCTAGAGACCACTATGGACACTTTTTTACAGAGAATTTGATGACGTAGTCAAAAAAATTTTGTCGGTTTTAGATTTTGAGATATTATCACAATTTTCGTTTTTTTAAATGGAAACAACCACTGATTATTCGCTTAATAAATTCGTTATTTTTTTCTGATTACAAAAATATAGGGTTTGACAGGTCTATTTGTTATTATTTTAGAATAAAACTAAAAATAAACTTTTCTTTTAGTGTCGTGGAAGAAATTAAATTTACAGTTTCCTGTAAATTACGGTTCTATAACTAAAAATTAAAAAAACATATTTCTGATATTTGAAACAAATATACTTGTTGAACTGTTTAATTTATGTATGTTTTACACAAAAGTTGGAATAGATTACATTATTTCACATTTTTTATTACGATTTAATATTATTTTTAAATTTCTTAATAAATTATCGATAGATGGCGCTCATGTTTTTCTTTTTAATTCAAATAAACATAGCAACATTTGTTTGTATTCAAAAATTTTCTGAAGTGTCACTTTAAAAATCCTGTTTTTAAGATCAATTACGAAAATTTTGAAAAGTTTGACATGTTAGAATGTTACATATTAAAAAATGATTTGTTTTTAAATACCAGAAGTTATCTTCGTATTTAATTGTTAACTTTTTAGATTTTACCATTGTCTTTAAATATTAACTATTATTTACTATGTAAAGATAATGATTTTACCTACCGCCCCGTAATTTACAGGAAACTGTAAATTTAATTTCCTCGACGACACTAGATGGAAATTTTATAAAAAAAGTTTATTTTTAGCTTTATTCTAAAACAATAAGAAATAGACCTGTCGAACCCTATATTTTTGTAATCAGAAAAAAATAACCAATTTAATAAGCGAATAATCAGTGGTTGTTTCCATTTAAAAAAATGAAAATTGTCATGATAACTCAAAATCTAAAACCGAAAAATTTTTTTTGACTATGTCATGAAATTCTCTGTAAAAAAGTGTCCATATAATGTCGTAGTTATAGTACTCCACCTATAATAATAACCAAGATAATTGCACTTATTGGTTTTACGATATTTTCAATTTTGACCTCTAGGGGAAAAACAAAAGACGATAGCGCTATAAGGTTTTCAGCATTAGCAGTTTCTCGAAAAACGAGATCATGACATGTAAGTTACTTTTTTTCTAACTCTTATAGTTTCCGAGTTAGCCTATTCGGACATCGAATTTGAACCACCCTGTACTTATTGGTACTGATTCTAACTTTATCAACACTTCTCTAATAGTAAGGCCATCTCGAATAAAATATCTCGCAGTAATGGCCAACTGAGCATTTGATGTGATATTAGTGGTTTCATCAAGAGAAATCGATATTAGTGGTTTCATCGTCGGCGTAGTGTCTCCCAAGAAAAACAAACCTGAAGCGATTAATATTTTCGGATAGATCAAAAAATTTGTATATCATTAATTTAAATTTAAACATTTAATTTACGTAGAATGCAAAACAATGTGGCAATAAATTTTTAATGAGAATATTTGCACAATTATCTGATCATCTACTATTAGATTAATTATTAAAATAAATACAAAATAAAAATGTAAAGAATCACCAAAGGTATATTTTAAAATAAATAATACACTATAAATAATAAAAAAATATATTAACTCATAAAAAACTAAAAATTTTCTTAATAAACAATTTTTACATTTTTTCAAAAATTTTCTGATATAAGAAAACAATCTCTATCAAATGAGCCTAACGAAAGGGTACATTGCAGTTTAAAAAAATTCAAGTGTTATTCGTTGCTTATTTGTTCTCTGAAATATAAACAATTGAATGCTGTCTTATTATGGCAAATAAAATATTAAACAACTTTTGTATAAAATGTTTTTTTATAAAGTCAACATTTACCGAGATATATACTATATTCCATAAATAATGGGCATCCTGTACATATAAAAATATATGGTGTTCCTGTAAGTAGTGGCATAATTTCAATCACATATACTACTAGAGCAAAAATTATGACAACTATATAAAATCAACGTCGCTGATTGTCGGGGAATTACCCGACAACCGGACAGTCCTGGCGCGCCAGCCCGATCGAGTACCCATTAAGCGTGTTCACGAGCGAATCTCGTTTCGAATTTTTCGCCAGCTAGGTAGACCTCTTACAAGATTGCAATAAACAACTTTTTTTCTTTAGAAAGTATGATACAATGATTTGGCAACGTCGCTTTTTTTGTTTATATCGAGATGAGCCATCACCTCTGTTGCCAAATTATTTAGAAATTAGCTGTATAAAGAAAATTGATTAATGCAAACTAAAATTTGGATTAAATTCACTATAATTTCATCGATGTAGTGTAATATAAATTAATTTTTTATTTAGGAATTAAAATGATTTTATTAATTTGACTTTAATACACTATCGCCATCCGTTGTCTAAAAAATATTTAACACGTCAAATTGTTTATAGTAACCTTCAAACAGAAATGGGAATTCCCGTTGATGGAAGCCTTGTTTATAGATATCCATAGTTTTTCAACCGATGTTAGTTTGTGTTCGTGATACCCAGATGACAGGGTAATTTATCTATTAATTTACAGATGGAATACAAGAATGAGGTTGTGCAGAATGAACTAACAATAAGATTGGAAAGAAATTACAAGAAATATGCTGTAAAGAAAACAAAAAACTGAAGATTATTAGTATTAATTTACACATAAATTACCCTGCCATCTGGGTATCACGAACGCAAACTAATATTGGTTGAATACATATACAGACTGTCCCGTATCTCCCGCGTCAGAGCATTATACGGTTATTCTGAAGCGATTTTTCTAATAAAATTTTTTCGAAATGTTTATAATAACCGCACGGGAACTGTTTAAAATTCTTCGCTTTTGTCCAATAACAGACGATTTTGATTCACAAAAAAAGTTTATTTCTCTTTGCGTGTCGAATCTATTGGTTAGTAAACGTGAGAAATATGTTCAGATCGGCACAGCGGTCCGGCCGAAGGTTGGGTTTTACATGAGAATTTTCGTTTTTTTAAATGGAAACAACCACTGATTATTCGCTTATTAAATTCGTTATTTTTTTCTGATTACAAAAATATAGGGTTCGACAGGTCTATTTCTTATTGTTTTAGAATAAAGCTAAAAATAAACTTTTTTTTTTAAATTTCCATCTAGTGTCGTCGAGGAAATTAAATTTACAGTTTCCTGTAAGTTACGGGGCGGTAGGTAAAATCTAAAAAGTTAACAATTAAATACGAAGATAACTTCTGGTATTTAAAAACAAATCATTTTTTAATATGTAACATGTCAAACTTTTAAAAATTTTCGTAATTGATCTTAAAAACAGGATTTTTAAAGTGACACTTCAGAAAATTTTTGAATACAAACAAATGTTGCTATGTTTATTTGAATTTAAAAGAAAAACATGAGCGCCATCTATCGATAATTTGTTAAGTAATTTAAAAATAATATTAAATCGTAATAAAAAATGTGAAATAATGCAATCTATTCCAACTTTTGTGTAAAACATATATAAATTAAACAGTTCAACAAATATATTTGTTTCAAATATCAGAAATATGTTTTTTTAATTTTTAGTTATAGAACCGTAATTTACAGGAAACTGTAAATTTAATTTCTTCGACGACACTAAAAGAAAAGTTTATTTTTAGTTTTATTCTAAAATAATAACAAATAGACCTGTCAAACCCTATATTTTTGTAATCAGAAAAAAATAACGAATTTATTAAGCGAATAATCAGTGGTTGTTTCCATTTAAAAAAACGAAAATTGTGATAGTATCTCAAAATCTAAAACCGACAAAATTTTTTTGACTACGTCATCAAATTCTCTGTAAAAAAGTGTCCATATAATGTCTTAGTTATAATACTCCACCTATACTAATAACCAAGATAATTACATTTGCGGGTTTTACGATATTTTCAATTTTGGCCTCTAGCGGAAAAACAAAAGACGATAGCGCTATGAGGTTTTCGGCATTAGCAGTTTCTCGAAAAACGAGATCATGACATGTAAGCTACTTTTTGTCTAACTCTTATAGTTTCCGAGTTAGCCAATTCGGACATCGAATTTGAACCACCCTGTACTTGCATCAAGTTGCAACATTGATGTAATGTTCCAGGGTACGAACATTATATCATTGTTGCAAAACTCATTTTTGCTGTTAGAGAATTGAAAAAAATGGAGTTATTTGATAAAACTTTATACGACAAAGATGGTCTAAAGAGTTTCGTTTAAAACATCAACGAGTTACAAAAGGAATAGTCGATAATATTTGTACGGAATCGATTTCTGTAACACTTGGTAATGCTCCAAAGATACAAACTGTAGGTCAGAAGAGAAAAGAAGCTCTTTTTATGACAAATTCTCTGGTAAATTTAGCTAGCTTATCTTATGACGGTTTTTTCAACTACAAAATGAAAATATTGGGTGAAATAGATACGGCCTGGAGGGAAGGCAAAGAAATAGCTATTAAGTTAATTGATAGCGACAGTTTTATTGATGAAAATACAATTCAATGAGTGAAAATGTTGAACAATGCAACTTGATTGAAGTATCTAACATACATGTCGAATTCTTAGACTTACTGAAATATGAACAACCTTAAACACACTTAACAATTTTTATTTTAGATACATGAAGAAGAATTCTTTGCAGTTAATGAAAATGACAATGAAGATGAACTTGCCGATAAAAATGAATAAAACATGTCTCTTATTAACTATTTTTTCCGATTTGCTTTAATTCGATTAAACTAATTCAGAAAATGTTCACAAATTTATTTATACATATTAATTTATTTTTACTAATTTGAAAAGGCGCCCCAAAAACTTTTTAGCTTCTTTAATAAATGAAACTCGATATTTTGGTGTTAACTTAAATTGAATCGAGCATCTTATTAATTTTCTCCTAAATCAATAAATATCTACTAATTACATTTAATATTTTAAGATATCCTTTTACCTTTCAATACAAACATCTTCCTTGAAACATTGCATTTTAGCGATGTTAAAGAAAATCGCCCCTATCGCATTTGCAGTAATCGTGTGAAGATTACTCAAACATGTTTGAAATTTTAGGTCGCAATCGCAATGAGATCTCGTATAAGGTGAGTTATTGCAGACGTTTTCTATGCATTCGCCGGGTTGAAGAGTATTTGCGCAATGATCGTGTTCTCTACAACACTCATCTTCCTTTTTATGTACACCCAATTCGTGGTAACTTTCGGCTTTTGAACCTTTCCCACACCACAAAGTCCCGGGGAAAATAAGTCCGTATTCCTCTTTTTCTGCACACCTTAACTCGATTGCGTTAAAAGTGTCATCGTCGACAATTGCTATTTCATTTTTTCTTAAAATCCTATGTATATCATAGCTTAAAAAAACATAATTTTAGGTCCATGTTTGATTCGGTTTACTTACTTCTTTGAGTTACTGGTTATTGTGAACGTCGCAAAACGAGTTTTCGAACCCTAATTCGATTATTTTAGATTTATCATGATTAGAAATAAAAACGTTGGGATGTGCTAAGTTTACGAGAAAAATTAATGGGATTAATGTTAAGAAAGTATTTTTCTAAAACGTAAAGTTGTGAGATTAATTCTTTGCCCGAAATTAAACTTACAAACATCGTAAAGGTCTATTACAAACGATTAATTAATATCGATAAGAAACGATTAAGCAAAATCGATTAATCTAAGGAATTAAAACAAGACTTTAATAGCAAATCCTAAATAATCCTTTTTAAAGCAAATATAGAAATTCGATCATTTTGAATGACAGCGAAACGTCAAAATTGACAATTATATACGTCAATTTGAATAATTTAACATTTAGAATTCAATTTGAAATTAAAACTTTATTTTTGATTACGATTTAATGATGAAACGTTAAATTCATTAATTAAATGTTTAAAACGTTAATTTTAATTACCCACCTTTAAATTAGATCGTTTTAATAAAAGCGAAACGTCAAAATTGATAATTATATATGTACGTACGTCACGTTAAACGGCAATTTGAATAATTTAACATTTAGAAATCAATTTGAAATTAAAACTTTATTTTTGATTACGATTTAATGATGATACGTTAAATTCATTAATTAAATGTTTAAAACGTTAATTTTAATTACCCACCTTTAAATTGGATCGTTTTAATAAAAGCGAAACGTCAAAATTGATAATTATATATGTATGTACGTACTTCACGTTAAACGGCAATTTGAATAATTTAACATTTAGAAATCAATTTGAAATTAAACCTTTATTTTTGATTACGATTTAATGATGAAACGTTAAATTCATTAATTAAATGTTTAAAATGTTAATTTTAATTACCCACCTTTAAATTTAGATCGTTTTAATAAAAGCGAAACGTCAAAAGTGACGTTTAAACGTCTATTTTAATTATTGTAATATAGAATTAAATTAAAATAAGATAAAAATAAATTTTGAGATATAAAAGTGATTTTCTTAAATCTTTTTTCCTCTTTAAGTAATCAATTAATTAATTCAGAATCAATTTGAATTTAAAAAATTTCTACTCCAAATCAAGTTGGTATTAAAAATAATTTTTGGATTCAATTTTCTAAAGAAATTTTTTATGTAACACATAACCACACATAATATATTATATACTATCATGAAGAGGACTTTTTAAGCTTTAATTTAAGATATAATTTATTGTTATTATATAATTTATTGTTTAGATATGCAACCAATTTGACATCAATGTAATATAAAAAGAATAATTGATATATTTTCATGAGATATCATTTATCAGCGTTTTAAAGGTTAAAAAGATTAACACAGTCTTTTACCATATTTATAAAATAAATTAAATGATTTGCAATTAAAAAAGTGTCATGAAACTCATTATAATTAGCGTTTTATTATTTTCTATCAAAACTGTAAGTAATCTAACCTCATTATTTTTTGTTATTTGAATTACGTCTTATTTATTTCAAATTAGGTTTTAACCGATTCAACTTATAAAGCAGCAATAATAGAATATCATCCAATCCAACACAACAATTCGATAACCTACAAAGAATTATGCAAGAAAAACGTTGAGAATTACATTAATCTCATTAAAAAAGCCCCCCAATTAGACATTGCAGTGTTTCCAGAAGCTACAATAACAACTTTAACCGCATTTAATCATCGCCAAGTTCTCATAGACATCGCAGTTGAGTTACCTAAGCTTAATAAGCCTTCAATAAAAGTAAATCCATGTTTATCTAGTTTGAAAAATGATTTTCCAGAGTATATTAAAGACATTTCATGTGCAGCTAAAGATTTAAAAACATACATCGTTATAAATACAGTGGAAAAGATTGTTTGTGAGGAGGATGATGAAAGGGAGGTACAAAAATGCACGGAAAAGTGGAATTTGTACAACACAAACGTGATTTTTGATCGAAACGGAGATGTGATTAAGAAATACAGGAAGTTTAATTTGTTCCATGAACCCCAAAATTGCCGCCCAAAAAATCCTGAGTATGTTACGTTCACAACGGATTTTGGAGTTACTTTTGGGACTTTTATTTGTTTCGATATATTGTTCGAAGAACCGGGTGAAGTTCTTGTTCGAAAGTTGGGGGTTAAACATTTCGTTTATCCCACAATGTGGTTTGCAGAGGCCCCATTTCTAACGGGTAAATTAATTTGTTGTATTTGAATTAATTTAGTAATTCAATTTTAATTATTTAAGCACTTCAAATGCAAGATATGTGGGCTTCGGGGAATAACGTCACTTTATTAGCTGCCAACGCGAATGATCCTAAAGTTGGTAGCGGTGGTTCTGGGATTTACCAAGGGTTAAAAGGACCGAGAAGTTTTACCATTGAATCTAATGGGTCTAAATTAATCGTTGATGATGTTTATAAAAATTTAAATCAAGCTAATTTAATTAGAAAAGTGGATGAAGATGTCGATGAGATTGATCGGAAAGGTTTGGAGAGGGATGGATTCCGATTAATCGCTAATAATTTGAAATGTAACGTTAAAAATTGATGTGAAGTTATCCATAAATCCCAGCTCATAACTTTAAACAATCACAATTCCGTAACCACTACGTAACAATTTTCACCCTGATGGGCACCTTCCAATTAAGCCAAATTCTATCACATAATAGAACACAGTTCTAAGAATTTTTATCAATTTTCAAAACCCTGTAACCCTCAACGGTTTTCGAGAAAAAAAAATTGTTGTTATAGTAGACGACACGAGAGCTGGCAATAAATAATCGTTTTCCGCTCTTACAAATGCCATACATAGTAAATTAAAATTCATAAACCGCTAGAGAGTAATGTGTGTTAGAAAGAGATAGCATTAGTTTAATATGTCTGCTGTACAATTCAAATGGCCACGTCGAAAAAGTACGTCTAATAAATATAATAAATTATT